ACTTCAAGGTGTGTGTCTGCTGTCACTGGCAGGTAAAGTGGGCAGCATATAGATCTGAGTTGAATAATCCCAGTAATCAAATAGGGTAGTAGATAATCCCAGCAAGCCTGCATTTTTAGTCCCACTGAAGTTGAGGCTGATTTCTGGCTGTGAGCTTGGAACTGGACCTATGGAGCCTGCAGCAGTCTGTAGACCACCCCCCCCACCCCCATCCCCGCCACTGTCTCAAACTGGGCTCCCTGACCTCCTGCTGATTTGAACTCTGACACTGACACCGGAAGCCACTAGATGGAGCGGGCCCACAACTGTTATGAGTTCTGAGCTCAGTTGGCTCCTCTCCAAGATGACTACCAGCTGATCCCTCTCTCCTGTGGAATGTCCAAACCCCAACTCAGCAACCCCTGTAGTCTGCTGCATCCAACACTCCACTTCACTGGTGTATTTCTCCATGAAGGTCTCTGAGGTCTCCAATAGTCATGCTTCTTATGTAGGTTCAAGCCTTTCTTCCCACACATCAAGTCTGGGCTCAGGGAGAAGCCACCTCCTTCTTTGTTGGAGACTATCTCTTCGCTCCCTAGATGGGATTCAGCTCTCACTTCAGATCCTTTCTGGGTCCCAGAGACTCACTTCCCTCCTTCTTCTCTTCCTCATGTTGCTTTATTCCAGTGCCTGGACACCAAACCTGGGAGAGGTCCTCTCTCTGCTGCTCACCACTATACTATCTTCCCAGACAGTCCCAGAGGTATAATTTTATAAAGTTGGGAGAAAAAAGGACTGATGGTCCAGTATACTTTCAGGAAGAATCAAACATTGATATATACATACCAAATGGTAAATCGAAACAAAAAGAATAACTTATCAAAATAATGACATTGACAGAGCAACAAAAATATTAAAAACAAAAACGAAATGCTGGATTTTGTCATATGCCTGTTCAGCATCTATTGAGATAATCATGCAATTTTTTCATGTTTCTGTTTATATGGTATAATAAATTTATTGATTTGTGTATGTTGCACTATCCCTACATCACTGGCATGAAGCCAAACTTGTTATGGTGTATGATTTTTTCACTGAGTTGCTGCATTGTTTGCCAGCATCTTGGTGAGAAATTTGGCAACTATGTTCATTACAGAGATTGCCCTGTAGTTCTCTTTTTTGCGTGGATCCCTTCCTGGTTTTGGAATCAGGCTAAGACTTGCTTCCAGGAATCACACATGGAATACTGCTTCCATTTTGATTTCAAAAAATTTGAAGAGGGCCAGGGATTTAGCTCAGTGGCTCCGCCGCCTGCCTGCCAAGTGCAAGGTCCCGAGTTCAATCCCCAGTACCAAAAAAAAAAAAGAATTTGAAGGATTTCGACATTAGATCTCTAAAGTTCTTGTACCATTCAGTAGTGAATCAGTCAGGACCCAGGCTTTAATTTCTTGGCTGTTTTTCAATGACTTCTTCAATTACTTTTACTGGTATTAGGTTATTTAGGATATTTATATCTTCTTGTTTCAGCATTGATAGTTCATAGGGATGTATGAATGTGTCCATTTCTTCTGAAATTTCCATTTTGTTGGAGTACAGGTTCTAGAAGTGTTTACCAATTGTCTGGATTTCAGCAGAAATCACCTTGTTCATCTCTAGTTGCATGAACTAAGGTCTTCCTTTTTATTTTGGTAATATTGGCTAAAGGAGATGATCTTATATTTTGATTTTTTTATTAGTCTCAATTTTAGTAATTTCTGATCAGATGATTATAGTTTCATTCTTGGTACTTGATTTGGCTTTGGATTTTTCTTGTTTTTCTTGGGTATTAAGGGTCATCATTGGGTAATTAATGTGGGCTCACTCTGTTTTTTCTGATGTGGGCACTTACAGCCATAATCTGTTCAGCCTGTCTGTTATATTCTTTCCATTAGAATTTTGGCATCTTTGACCTTATTGTCTCTTTCTAAGCTGCATGATCATGTTCAGCACTTCTGAAATTCCTTTTTTTAACATGCAAACATGTGTCCATCACCATGGCAGAAATGATTATTATGAAGTTTGTGGGTTAGGTGGTCACCCGTGCTCTCTGTGCTTGACTTTCATTGTCAGATGAAAGGAAAAATTTGAGAAAACAGACACAATGTTGAACTGCAAAAATTATGGTGGAAAATAAATGTGTTCAGTATAAAATAACTTCTAATTGCAATATTGCATAGCAGCATCCACTATGCAAATTACTGGTGATAGAAAGAATTAGAAATGAGCTGCAGTAAAATTAACCACATATTCAAAGGTGTAACAATTGATACTGTACTCCTGAATGTAGTATACTTCATGAATCATATAAGATAATATTTCATTTTAAAATAAATGATTTTTATGATATTGTCTACCTGATGTCTAATTTAATTGTCTAAATACTATTAGGTTAGGATGTTATACTGTCCCTCATATTGGGGATATTTTAGTATATGTGCTGCTGAAACAAGCACCATACTGGGGATATTGAATGAATTTGTCACTTATATTTTCACCTTAGCATGGAAATGTCAGAATGTTACCCTGCGGGGAATTGAGCAGCTAGTGTATTCATAAAGAAAACAACCCACAATATCTTACACAACACCACAGTGTTAGGAGGTGAGTAGGCAAGTATAAGTCAAAGACATCAGAGATGGCCCAACATCAACAGCTTGTATGAGTTTTGTGTGGCTGAAGGTATGTATACCACTTCTTCCATCATCATTTGTCTTTACTGATGATGACAAGAAGGCCATTGTATAACATCTCTAAAATTGGTAAAACAAAACACAACTGAATCTTAAAAATTGCTCAATTTCTTTTTTTACTAAACTGATTTGAGATTCTTAGGTTAAAAAAATGAATTCAAAGATTAAATGGCTTTCACACCATTAGGAACTAGAACACAACAGGCTGTTTCAATCCAAAGAATATAAATAATTCTTCCCAAACAAACTTCAACCTTGTCCAAAATTCCTTTGCAAATGTGTTTACTGAAAAGTCAAATCATCACTTATATTTCATAGAGAGAATAATTACTGTAGTTAATTATATTTTTTTGAGAAAGATAAGGTCCTACTGGCAGTAGGGAACTTCCAACAGTATGTATTTTTTGTATGATGACTGATAGATTATCACCAAAATAAGTCATAGCAATATGGTCATGAAAACTAAAATTTCTATTTTGAAAACACCTATAATTTTACATATTATAATAATGGTCCTGATATAAAAAATAGGCAAAATTAAATATTACATATACAGTAACACCTAGATTTGCAAGCATAATTACTTCTATAAACCTGTTTGTAATTCAAAGCACCCATATATCAAGGCAAATTTTTCCATAAGAAATTATGGAAACTAAGATGATTCATTCCACAACCCAAAAATATTCATATGAAAATGATTACAATACTGTAATATAATACAAAATAATAAAGAAAATACAAAAAGGTAAAACAAGTTATCATGTGCACAGCTTTGAAAACATTTGTGGCTAATGTGAGGGAGACAACAGAGAGGAGGGTTATTGTATACAATGACTTTCAATATCATGAAAAGAATCACTGATAATTCTTGTCTCAACTGAATCTTTTCTTTTCATTCACATTTAACAAAGAACCTATCCAAATCACTTGGTTTTGCCTCCTTTTGAGAAATTCATGGAAATGTGATATTGCATTTTATTAAACAGATTCATTGCTCCCACTGCTACCACTCTTATTTGAGTAGTGTTTTCTACAATATTTTGCAGTTTCCCACATCATACACATCTCCCTAATCTCAAAGTTAGAGGTTCCTCCACCATTTTCTCCCCCTCCTCTGCAGATGAGATCTGTTCCACAACACCTTGTGGTTGTGAGATGATCACCCACAATCCCTCAGCAAGTAAGAGAGAGAACCCTTGGCTTACTTGAGAGCATATGTCACTTGCCATCAGGTACTATTCATATTGCAAGGCATCACTTGTTTATCAAGTTAAAATTTATTAGAAATGATTGTTTGTTTGACAGAATATTCACTGAACAAGTTACAATCCAAGCTTTTACTTCAACCTCTAATTACGTTGGGATATATACAGATACCATCTCAGAATATAGAACACATGAAATTTCCTAGTCTGCAAGTTATTTGAAAACATTTAAATTCTATGTAAACATATACAGAATTTTCTTTAAATATGCATTATAAGTATAAAATCCAATTTAAAACTCATTATAATAATGGAAAAATTGACAGTATGAGGCAAACCTTTAAATAGAAGTCAGTGGGAAGATGACAATTAACAAAAATTTGGTTTTAAGATGATGTTACATCATAATTATTAAAAACAAAACAAAGGAAACAAAAAATAACTTGCAAAAATATTGGGCTTGGGCTGGGGATTTAGCTCGGTGGCACCGTGCCTGCCTTGCAAGCACAAGGTCCTCAGTTTGATCACCAGTACAGAAAAAAATTTAAAAATATTGTGCCTACTGGAATATAAGAAATATAATTCAATTCACCTGTGTATCTAACCCGGTGCAAAGTAAATTTTCAAAAGTTAACACTTAATTTGTTTAAAATACAATATTAAACTTCTATAGTATAGATATTGCTTACAAGAACATGAAGAATTATGTGAGCACAATATTCATTCTTCCATGTGAACTTACATATATTTAATCCAAGGACCTAATTTAAGAGTGAGTTTACTGTTTATATTTAAGATATCTCATCTGATGTGAAGTTTCTGGGGAAATAATCAACATATTTTTATATGACTTACTTATATAGGTTATTAACTATGTGAAAAATTTTCAGGTTTTGAAATTAAGAGGTATAACTGACATTGTACATTCACAGGGACTTGATCCAATATGCATTCTTACATGTAAGACAACTCAAGACTTTCGTGCAACATTTCTATTAATTGTTTTCTCACTGTCCTGTGTTTATTTGTAATATAAATAACATCAAAATAGTTACAGATGTTCGCATGAAATATACATTGATACCAGTTTATGCACTATGCAGGCCCATGTTTTCATGAAAGGACATCTAAAAATGAAAACTTTTCACATTCTGTATTTATACTAATTTTCATTGAGAGTTTCTGTACATTTTCTGAGATGATGGGAATCACAATATGCTATCTCACCTTATCCACATAGGGTTTCCTTTGGTGTGAGTTCCTTAATGTATTTCAAGGTAAATAGAAGAATTGAGTGGTTTCTCACATTTGATTACATACAGCTTTGCTCCCATGTGAATTATTTTATGTAGTAGAATGTATTGAGATAAATAAAACATTCCCAGGGCCGGGGATTTAGCTCAGTGCTTCTGGCGCCTGCCTTGCAAGCGCAAGGTCCCAAGTATGATCCCCAGTACCAAAAA